CATATTTTCACCTTCAGCCCCAGGGTGACCTCGGGACCTCCTCTGTCTGCCATGAGGAGTGGCAGGCCCCCTAGGCGTCTCCCTTTTGCAGTGCCAGCCTCTGAACCGCTGTGCTGGCACCAGTTCCCTGTGTGTTGGTGACAGTAGCACCATCTCATACTCCATGGCACACTGCACTCTTCATTGCCTCTCTCCCTGACGGCCACACTGACTCTGGAATGGACAAGGCAGCCCATTTCCCCGAGGAGGACTCTGACACTTGGAGGCATAAGAGTTTGCTCAAGGCCACACACTGGCGGAGTCAGGACTAGAACCCAGGGCTTCCTCTCCTGCCCAGCACTCTATCCCGATTGCCTCGGCTCAGGAAAACTGGAACTGTTCACAGCGGCAGAGCTAGCAAGTGGCAGAGTCAGGATTTTAACCCAGACAGGTCTTTTGGGTTCAGAAGATTGCACCAGACATCTTCCCAACTTTTAGGGGAACTTTAATAAAAAATAGAGTCAGAGAATCTTAATGCTTAAATCCCCCCTGGGCTAGTCATTATATTTTCCGGACAGAAATGAGGCCGAGAGAAGGGGAGTGACTTGGCCGAGGTCACCCAGCCAGGATGCCCAGCCCCTCACCCTGTTTTTTTCTGTTGCCTTTGCTGACCAAAGTGGAGGAGACCAAAACTTCATGTTCTAATTCTGTTCTAAAACAAAAAGTGGCCTCATTTTCTCTAGGGCAGTACCTATTCACCAGAAGGCAAAAGGCTAAACAGAAATGCAAGCCGAGTTCTTCACTTCGTAACGAACATGTGATGATCCTAGCCCATGGTCCTAATCACCATGTTTCCCCGAAAATAAGACATCCTCCGAAAATAAGACCTACTTACAGGTTTCCTTCTGAGTGAAATATAAGGCATCCCCCCAAAATAAGGCCCCCCCTAGGCTAAACATGAGAGATTTGGTCCACTGATTCTGAAAGAAATGGAGTCACAAGAAATTCACCAGGAAATTCAGGAATTGGATTGTTATGATGATGTTCCAGAAGATGATGACATGATTGTCATTGAATAAATGAGTAAATTCTTGATACTGTAGGATTCACAGTTTGTCTGGTTTGTGTTGACAACCACCATACTACCTGACCGTAGACAGGTAATAAATTTCCTTTATTTTCATTTAACAATAAATGTGTACCGTATTCTTCTTCATGGAAAAATAAGACATCCCCTGAAAATAAGACCTAGTGCATCTTTGGGAGCAAAAATTAATATAAGATACTGTCTTATTTTCGGGGAAACAGGGTAATTAGGAAAACAGATACTGCCATTGTGCTTATAAAGCCACAAACCACATCCACCGTCATGGTTAAGAAGAGATTATTCTAAACTCCACTTGTACACACTAAATAAATATGTAGCACCAGCCAATAAAACAGGAAATAAAACCAAAAAGCAGTCCGGGACATTCTGAACAGCCAGATGGCATTCTGTGATGTACCCTAACATTCGAGCCAACAAAATGCCTCAGTGTCCCTGGGATGAACACGGGTGTGAAGCGAGGCGCCACACACCTGCTTGGTCTTTCCGTGCGATGCAGATGTTCAAGCATAAGGCTGGGGTGACATGCATTCATTTTAAGGAGGTGGATCTGTGCATTTTTAAATTTTTATTTTATTTTTTGTTGATTTCAGAGGGGAAGGAAGAAGGAGAGATAGAAACATCAATAGTGAGAGAGAATAATAGATTAGTTGCCTCCTGCACGCCCCCTACTGGGGATCAAGCCTACATCCGGGCCCTGTGCCCTGACTGGGAATTGAACCGTGACCTCTTGGTTCATATGCTCAGCAGCTGAGCCACATCATCTGGGTTATGTAACTTCCACTCACTGTACCTACAGCCTATTCCCTTCTCTGTCCTCCCCCACCACTCTCCAGAACAGCCCCCGCCAACCCCCTGGCTCACAGGCAGCTCCCATCCCTGACTCTCACTCTCCACGACCTGCCAAGCTTTCCAGGAAATCCTCCTCTACTCCTTCTTCTCTTGCTTCCTATTCTCTTGCTCACAGCTTAAAGTAAAATTCCTCAAGCCTCCATAACCCTTGGGTTTACAAAGTGCCTTTCCCACTGAGTCCAGGATTATCACCATTTTTTCAATGAGAAGACCAGGGCTCGAAGTTAAGAAACTTGTGGTAGGCTTTTATTTGAAATCCTAAAGGCTTTTTTTCAGGATGGCTCTACACCACCTTCCCAGCTTTCTATTGTACGTACCCCACTCTGTCCTAGAATGACCTATGGTCATGATGGGTGCTTTTATCTCCTAAATACATCGTAAGCTTTTCCATGTCTGTGTCCTTGTTCACTCAGGCCTCCCTTCCTGAAATCCCTCACTCCCACCAACCTTCTCTACTCAACCAGAGAGTCCCCCGATTCTTCCGACCCAGTGTCAGACCTGGCCAGTTAGTCCCCTCGAGAGGTCTTCCAGATGCACAGCCTGGCTGACAGGCACATAGTAGGCTCTGCCCTGCTGTATGGATTCTTCTTCCCCTCAGAGTGGAAGCCATATGGGAGCCATGTTGGGGGCTCATGGGTGGGTGGGGCAGAGGCTCAGAATGATCCAGAGTCAGAGCCTGGACTGGGGAGAGCCAGATGATCAACGGGTTTGTGAGAACTTCCCAAGGTCAGCTGCTCCTCAGACTCAGGGAGCCTGGCAGGTCAGGGCCTCATGGTTTCATGTGGGGTCGCTCCTGGCCCTCAGAGGTGGACTTCTCTCAGGATTCCGAGAACAGTGGCCCACACCAGCATCTCCGTGGTGCCTCATCCTGTTGAACTAAAAACCACCATAGCTGAGTGTTTTTGTTTTGTTTTGTTTTAATATATTTTATTGATTTTTCACAGAGAGGAAGAGAGAGGGATAGAGAGTTAGAAACATCGATGAGAGAGAATCATCGATCAGCTGCCTCTTGCACACTCCCTACTGGGGATGTGCCTGCAACCAAGGTACAAGACCTTGACCGGAATCGAACCTGAGACCTTTCAGTCTGCAGGCTGATGCTCTATCCACTGAGCCAAACCGGTTTCGGCCACCATAGCTGAGTTTTAATATTTTCCCCCTGAGCGTTTTTTCCCCTTTCTGTGAAGCTGTTCTCCCTCAGCATCTAGTCATGAGGACTGCATGTCTCAGCAGTCCCGAGGTCCCTGGACGCTGACGCGGCCCCCTCAGAGATGAGCACAAGGCACAGCTTAGTCAGACCTGCTGGTGTGGGGAAGACAGCGCCCAGGGTGTGTGTGTGTGGGCCCCCCCAGGTGGAGGGCAGTCACAGGCCCGAGCCAGGGCCACACGGCCTGTTGTCACACACACAGTTGCAACCGCAGCTTGTTCTCTGTCTCACACAGGTTGCTCAACCTCAGCACTGTTGACACTTGGGACAGGACAGTTCTTTCTGTGGGGCCACTCTGGGCACCACAGGGCAGGCGTTTGGGAGCGCCCTTGGCTCCCAGCACAGGGTGCCAGGAGCAGCCCCCTCGCCAGTTGTGACAACCGAAAACATGGTCAGATGTCTCCTGGGAGGCAGAATTGCTCCTGGTTGAGAACCGCTGGCCTAAAACGTTGCCGGCCAGAGTTGAATAAATTCCAGTTCTCAAACTGGTTATACGCTGTTAGACTCGGTCCAAGGAAAATCATTCAGGAGCTTTTCTGTCTTATTGTGTTGCTCCCTGAGGCTTTACTTGGTATGCCCCTCCCCATCCCCACGATAAACATATAAATCCCCCAGTCAAACCAACATTCTTTCCTTCCCGGAGCCTCTCCAACTGAGCTGGAAGGTCATTGGGACTCTCTCCTGAGGGCTAGCGGAGACCTCAGTTTGAGAAGAATGACTGTTATTGCCTCCCCATGGGCAAAGTGTCTCGCTAACAGGGGCTAGGAAGAGGCTGTTCAAACAATTATAGGCGAATAACCAGGAAGCACAGGTTGTAGAAGGAATTACACGGCCACACTTGTTCTTTCCAAAGGCCAGAATTCCCACAGCATGCATTTGTCACCCCTCAAAGCACTTGGCCACCCAGGGGCCACCTCTGGGCCCTCTGCCCACCTGTTCTAGGCCCACTCGGCCTCCAGTCTTCTCCCACCTTTTGCTTCTTGTGCAAAAGCCCCGAAGCAGGAGAGTGTTCAGCATGTTTGAGTCACAGTAAGGAAGCCACTGTGTTTGGAGAGGATTGAGTGAGGTAGGAGAGGTGGGACATGAGCCAGGCTGGCCCAGGTATAGCCTGACAGTGTTCATCTCCCCAGGGACACAGGGCAGTGTCATGGTGTGACAGACACTGCGTGCAGAAAGTCAGTTATCCCAGCAGCTCAGGAGCAGGTTCTGTGCTTCCTCCAGTGGAAACCTGGCAGACAGAAAGCAGGGAAATGTTGCCATAGCCAGTTTTGCTCAGTGGATAGAGTGTCAGCCTGCAGATTCGAGGGTCCCAGGTTCAATTCCAGTCAAGGTCATGTACCTTGGTTGTGGGCACATACTCAGTAGGGAGGTGTGCAGGAGGCAGCTGATCGATGTTTCTAACTCTCCCTATCCCTTCCTCTCTAAAAAAACCACACACAATAAAAATATATTAGAAGAAGAAGAAGAAGAAGAAGGAGGAGGAGGAGGAGGAGGAGGAGGAGAAAGCAGGGAAATGTTGCCCTAGCCAGCTAGGCTCAGTGAATAGAGGTGGACCAAAGGGTCCAGGGTTCGATTCTGATCAAGGGCACGTACCTTGGTTGCAGGCTCCTTCCCAGCCTAGGCCTTGGTTGGGGCACATGTAGGAGGCAACCAATTGATGTGTTTCTCTCACATCAGTGTTTCTATTTTTCCCTCTCTCTTCTGCTCTCCCTAAAAGTCAATGGGAAAATATCCTCGGGTGAGGATTAGAGAAAGCAGGAAAATGCTAGCCGTACTCCTGCTCAAGGGCAGAGCCTGTCCCCAGAGCCAGTCCCCAGCCGTGAAAGCTGACAGCCATGTCTCTGTGTTCGCCCACAGGAATCTGAGCGGCTGGAGCTCATGAACGCGGAGCTGAAAACCCAGATTGAGGAGCTGAAGCAGGAGCGGCAGCAGCTCATCCTGATGCTCAACCGGCATCGCCCCACCTGCATCGTCAGGACCGACAGCGTTAAGACCCCCGACTCAGAAGGCAACCCACTGCTGGAGCAGCTGGAGAAGAAGTGACCATGGGCTGGGAGGAGGATGAGGAGGAGGAAGAGGAGACAGGGAAAGGGAGGAGGAGGAGGGTCCCAGGGGGCTCTTCCTTGCTGCATGAAAAACTCTTCAATGAGGCTCAGCACAGCCATCATCAGCCCTGCTTTTTTGTGAAACTCCGATCAGCCACAGCAGGGGAGGAAGCCCAGGCTGATGAAACCCAGGACCAAGCGCTGAGACCAAAGTAGTCCTGAGGGGGGCCTGCTCTGCCCGGGGCCAGCCTTGCAGGAGGCAGGACAGAGGCTCTGGGCCGGAGAGACGCCCAACCAGGCAGCTGCGGGCACTTCTCTGGCCTCTCCTCCAGGGCATGCACCCAAAGGACCTCCGAGCAGCCAGGAAAAGCCATGAGTTCAACCAAAATTCGGCTGAGGATGGAACTCAGAGTGAAACTGCAATCTGCCTGCCCCAGCCCTGACCCTGACCCTGACCCTGACCCTGACCCCGATGCAAGGCTGGAGAAGGGCACAGTGCCAGGCCCTGCTGTACCCACCCGCCGTGGTCCAGCGTGGTCCTGCCCGGAGTGGCAGCCGGGGCGCACCTCGCCGGCCCTGCTGGAGCTGCTGTGGCACAAGGCGCGGGCGCCCTTCCAAAGCACATACTCACTGAATGTTTACAGACCGGCTGTCCTGGCAGGGCTCTCAACTGCACATGTTTTTTTTATACTTTCTTTTGTTTTGTTTTTTTAAATATTTTTTACAAAAAAAAAAAAAGATTTTATACAAGCAATATATAAATGGATTTCTATAATCACTTGATGTGATACAGTATAAATATGCTATGGTTTGTTTGTTACGAACAGATATTCAGCAGTTATGGCCGTTGCGTGTAACTCCTAAGTACTGTAGTCTGGGTTTTGGGGGTGGCAGGGGCGGGGGTGGGGTGCATTTCCATCCTGGTAAAACCCTTCATAGTACTCAGTCCTGTATCGCTCAGTAAACATTACTCTTACTTACCCAGCTGCCTCCTGTGGTATCTGCCTAGGAGGGGATGGGGCGCAGGCCATGCTCACTGGGCCTCCAGAATGTTTGGAATATCTGCTGCGGGCTCCTTGGTTTTCATAGCAGCCCTCCCAGGTAAGTGTTGATCTGCCCATTTTACAGATGAGGAAGTAGAGGCTCAGAGAAGTTGATGAAACCTGCAGTACTTCATTTATTCACTCCACATATGTTCACTGAGTGCCTCCACCTGTGTGCCAGGCACACCCTACAAGGCACAGGGCGGTCACTGGGGAATAAAACAAACCTAGGCCCAGCGTTGATGGAGCTTCCAGTCCTGAGCTAAATCCTGGGCTTGCTCCATACATGGTCTCAGTTCATCTTCACAACAGTCATGCCAGGGAGCAGCAATGGCCGCCATTCACAGGTGACCAATTAGAGGCCCTGGGAGATGAACTTACAGCCACCATTTGTTGACTTTTACAGTGTGACATAATATGGTCTCATTTACTTCTTCCAACGCATGGAAATAGGCATCACTGCCCCATTGTACAAATGACTGAACTGAGAGGGCAAGTGACTTATTCAGGGTCACCCAGCGAGTGAGGGGCAGGGCTGGTGTCTGAACTCTGCCTCCAGGATCCCATGACTCTCCACCTGTCACCAGGACTCTGTGGTTATCCTCGGGGTTGGATGTCTCATCTGATTAGAACAGGAAGCCTGTGAGGCCACGGTTTTACAGATGTAGTTTCCGGAGGGCTGGATAGAGTGTCAGGCTATGTCATGTTCGTGGAGTGAACCAGTGACCCAGGGAAATGTGTGCCTGACCTAGAAGAGAGGGTGTGGATCACTCAGCCAGGGCCTCACCTGCGCAGCTCAATACATGACTCCGGAAAGCAAGGATGGCTCAGAGTGGTAGGCAATAATTGCCATCACCTCAGCACACAACAGTTCACGAGGCACTTCATGCATGTTTTCTCATTTTCAATCACAGCTCTACGAGTAGGTGGGATAGGTGTTTTTAGCTCCATTGTATAGTTGTGCAAACAGGCTTACAAAAATGAATGTTCATCCACCTGAAAAGAGGCAGAACTAGGAGCTGAACCCTACTCTTCCTACTTTTTTTTTTTTTTAATATATATTTTATTGATTTTTTTTACAGAGAGGGAGAGAGACAGAGAGATAGAAACATCGATGAGAGAAAAACAGATCAGCTGCCTCCTGCACACCCTCTACTGTGGATGTGCCCACAACCAAGGTACATTCCCCTGACCGGAATCGAACTCAGGACCTCTCAGTCCATAGTCAATGCTGTATCCACTGAGCCAAACCAGCTTTGGCCGCTCTCCTACTTTCTATGGTGAATTAGCTCTTCTCCATCACTGAGACTAGATAACTAGTGATTGATGAGGTTTCACGTAGCAATAACTGCGTTGCTTCCCAAATCATGAGTGAGGCCTTCTGGGATGGATGGGAAATAAGAAAAGGTAATTATATCTTCAGTTTCCAACTCGTTTGGTGTGGACTTCCTGAGCCCTGCCTTGGAAGCAGGGCCTGGACAACTCCCTGTGAGCTGTGGCGGCCACGGTAAATCCTCAGGCGGATAAGTCCTTTGACATTTTTCAAGCTGTGAGAAAAACAAAGATGTACACTCACAAGGGTCCCTCAAATGACATGGTAGAAGTTCCTGCCGCCTGACCCTGTCCTATGCTTGGATGCTGCGTGCCAGTACCTCCAGACTAGGCCCCCCTTAGCCTCTGCAGATGGGCTGCCTGCCAGAATCAGTGCTGTGAGGCCTGCTCTTGGTGTGTCTTCCTCACCAGGATCTTCACTCCCTCTTGGGGGTAGCCAGAAGTCACAATCATAGTCTTCCTCATAAGAGCTAATGATTGCATGTGTTCTGTGTTCCTGGCACTTAATTTTTTATTATTATTATTATTATTATTATTATTATTATTATTATTATAGCTTTTTAGAGGGAGAGAGAAACATCATTGTGAGAGCAAACATCAGTGGGTTGCCTCCTTCACTCCCACAACCCAGGCGTGTGCCCAGACTGGGAATTGAACTGGTGACCTTTCAGTACATGGTTCACTGCTGAACCAACTGAGCCACACTAGCTGGGGCTGTGCCTGTCGCTTTAGGTGTTACTGCAGCAGGTCCATATGACCTGGCCAGCAGGTCGGTGCCATCATCCCCCTGTTATAGATGAGACAGCAGAGGCCCAGAAAAGAAGTCACTTGCCCAAGGTCACAGTCCTATTGGGTGGCAGAGCCCGGATGTTCTTACAGTCTGACTTCAGGTGTACAAACACAAGGGCCCGGCCTCATCCTTTGGGGAAAGCTCTGTGTTTGCGGTGTGACCTCCATTACGGTGAAACTCGTGTGGGGAAATACTGAGAATTCCCAACTCCCAGACATCCATCTCCAAATGGATGTAAGAAGACATACTTTAGCCGAAACCAGTTTGGCTCAGTGGTAGAACATCAGTCTGCGGACTGAAGGGTCCCAGATTCGATTCCAGTCAAGGACATGTATTGGGTCGGCAACTAAGTAATTGCGAATTTTTAAAAGAAAATCAAAGACAATTTTTTTATGGAACTAAATAACTTTATTCTGTAATGTATTACCCATTTTGATCAATGACCTTTTGCCATCTTTCAGGCAGCATCATAATCCCACGTTCAAAAAACTTCTGGTTTTTATTAGCAAAAAACTGAATCAGGTACGATTTGACATCATCATCATTATTGAAATTTTTACCATTCAAGGAGTTTTGTAAAGATCGAAACACAAAGTAATCAGATGGTGCAAGGTCAGGACTATATGGTGGATGTGGCAAAACATCCCAACCAAGCTCCATTAATTTTTGCCGAGTGACCAAAGATGTGTGTGGCCTTGCATTGTCATGATGGAATACAACACCTTTTCGATTTGTCAATTCGGGCCACTTTTTTTTAACTGCATTGTTTAATTTTGTTAGTTGTTCAATGTAGACATCAGAATTGATCGTTCGGTTGGGTGGTAAGAGTTCAAAGTAGACAATTCCTTTGTAATCCCACCAAACTGATAACAAAACCTTCTTTTGATGAATATCAGCTTTTGATGTTGTTTGAGTTGGTTCACCTGGCCTGCTCCACGATCTTTTCCGCTTGATATTGTTGTAAACAACCCATTTTTCATCGCCAGTTATCAGTCGTTTTAAAAATGGATCATTTTCATTATGTTTCTTTAGCAAATCGCAGCTGCTAATGCGTTGCGTTAACTGTGATTCTTTCAGTTCGTGAGGAACCCATGTATCGAGTTTTTGAACATAGCCAAGTTGTTTTAAGTGATTTTCAATGCATGTATGTGATACATGGAGCTTCTCTGCAATCTCACGTGTTGTACTGTGACAGTCCGAATTGATTATTGCTTTGATTAGGGCGTCATCAACTTCAACTGGACGACCAGAGCGTTTTTCATCTTTGAGTGAAAAATCACCAGAACGAAATTTGGCAAACCAATTTTGACACTGCCGTTCTTTTAAGGCTTCGTCACCATAAACAGCACATAACTTTTTATGAGCTTGGGATGCGTTTTTCCCTTTGCGGAAATAAAAAAGCAAAATATGACAAAAATGTTCCTTTTGATTTTCCATTTTTCAACGAACGCCAAACAAAAACTACAAAACAGATCAAAAAACTTTTTTTTACTGATTAACAGCTGAATAGCCAACTATCAAATAACAAAATGTGTTTTACATTTGTACTACGTCTGCAAACCTAAAAATTCAACTGAAGCCATATATGTGTGAAACCCGCAATTACTTAGCTGCCGACCCAATACCTTGGTTGCAGGCACATCCCGGGTGGGGGGTGTGCAGGAGGCAGTTGGTCGATGTTTCTGTCTCATCAACATTTCTGGCTCTCTAACCCTCTCCCTTCCTCTCTGTAAAAAAAATCGATAAAATATATTTTAAAAAAAGAAGACATACTTTAAAGGTAAATGGGTTCAAGGCCAACATTCTGCTGACTACCCTTGGCCTCACTTTTATCTGAAAGGTGGGATATAATCCAAGTCTTGTTTATGGGGTTGTCAGGCTCAAGTGAGGAATGTATAGGACAATGTCTTGTGAAATACAAAACTCCATAAAATGGTAATTTCTTGTCCTCTGTTAGTGTGGACAGTGTTGATATTTATCACACAGTACAAATTATGCAAATATCTTTTATCCTCTAAATACCTTTTATTCTCTACAGGTGGCTGCAGACAGAGTGAGTGTTCTGGCCATGAATCCGGTTCCCATGGTGATGAGTGCCTGGGTTCCAAGACTCCTGGGTTTGTTTGGCTCCTGATTGGTCACAACTAGCTTCGTTGGGCTCATCATTCTTTCCGTGGGCCTCCTATGCCCTCCCGCCAGGTGTCCTCTGTGCTGAGTGGCCGTGAAAATCAGCTGGGCAACGTGAGAGGGATAAAGCTCATTTGCAATCAGATGAGCAGAAACTAGTACATGTTGATCAGGATAGAGATTAAAGAGACCTCACCTGCCGTGCCAGTGGGAAACGGGTGTGACTACCATGTCAGGCAATCATCAGTGACACTAAAACTAAATGCATCCTTTGACCTAGCCATTCCCCTCCTTTGTACATACCTTGGAGGAAGTCGAGCATAGGGGCACGAGGAAATGGATAAGAAGGTTCGCTGACGCTTTGTAATGAAGAGAAATTGGAAATAACCTAAATAGCTAGCAACAGAAGAGCAGATAAACAAATTGTGTCTTCATAAAATCGAATTTTGCTGAAACCAGTTTGATAGAGTGCCGGTCTGTGGACTGAAAGGTCCTGGGTTCGATTCCGGTCAAGGGCATGTACCTTGGTTGCGGACACATCCTCAGTAGGGGGTGTGCAGGAGGCAGCTGATTGATGTTTCTCTCTCATCTATATTTCTAACTGTCTAGTCCTCTCCCTTCCTCTCTGTAAAAAATCAATAAAATATATATTAAAAAAAATAAAATTTTATTCAGCAGTTAAAAAGAATGAA